GTTATGTTTACCTCATCTGTCAGGTGTTCCGTACGAATTTGTTAGAGGGAGAAATCAGCCTATGCAGGAAGGTGGTATGGTTAATCTTTTCATCGTTTCGAAACATAATTACTGGACCGTGAGTTGTCTGCTACTGAAGCTGGTTAGAACAAACCGACGGCCGGGCAAAGAGCGGTGGAACGATAAGCTCGGAAGATCTGTCTCTCTGAGAAATTCGAGAGCGCTGGATTAACAGATGAGACTTTTTCCTTCTACGTCTCCATGAGAAAATGAAGAGGTTTTGTGACTCGCCTGAAAGAGAACCTATTGGCGTCAAGAGTTAAAAGCTGGGTTCCGCTGGATCGCCGTTCAATGGCAATCTGGGACAATCCGATGCTAAAATCGATTGGCCAGCGGTGAAGGCAGAAAGCGCAGCACAGAAAATGCTAGAGGAGTGTCGATATACGTTCAAGGCACATCTGTAACGAAGATAAGTCTCATAACGTATATGTAATAATTTTTTGTGGACAACTTATGAGGATAACTGTCCTTCGTCACAGGAAACGTCTAATCCGTGGATATCTTCGTCAAATAATTGTGCGTTCTGTCAAGGGCTGCAACTCTGAACAGATGTCTTCTAGCTCAGTGATCGTAAATGTGAGGAAAATTGAACGACCCTAGCAAAATTTCAACTCTTCCCACAGAAATAGCATTATCGATCGTCAGTATACTGCTGTTCGTGAATGATTCTGCCACTGGCGCTAGTTTCCAGATGGACATCGACAACTGCTTCATCGCTGCTGACTGCACGATCACATGTCAACCCCTGAAATCATTCAGGTACCACCTTAAAATGGAGTCATGGCTGTACTGACAAGGACAATCTTCTTCAGTAGCAGAAAGACAAAGAAATCGTGAGCATGGAAGGAACTTCAATTCTGATCAAGATGAGCTGAATGATGCTTGGTGATCGGACAAAGAGAACACGATCGCTTGTTCATGAAAACATCTAACAGAGGATAATGCAGAGGCAATCAACGCTGTCTGGACCCTGAAGCGCTAATCTCTTAAAGAGAAGCAACAATGAAGATTGGAGCAGGATATGTGCAGCGGCGAAATTCATCAATGGTAGCAAAAGAAGGCATACAGCCAGCCTGCACAGAGCAAAAAAAGTGAGCAGCAGGATAACCATAACTGAAATAACATTGGAGAAGAGTAAGATCTGGAAATGAACTGGTTTTTATGACGAATTATAGAAGTTCAGATAAAGATGCAAATTCGTTGTAAGCTTCAATTCCCACTAACGCTACGGGATTGTGGCATAATTGCAGAAGCATTAAAGACGTAATCCTTGTCAGTTGAAGGCTGAGAAAAAACTAGCAATAATTCTAATATTAAGGATAATGATTTGCTGGCGTCAGCAAATAGCGAAGAACCAACCTCTGACAGTACTGAAGCAGTATTTAAAGGAGTTAATCTTGAAAATTGATCACTCGAAAGACAGATCCGATCGACCTTCGGGTAAAACACTGTTACCCGGACAACAATTCCGTGCTAAAAAGGACTGTCGTGTAAAGCATCAACCCCCAGCTGCCTCAACATGAAGTATATATGCAATTTCAGACTTTCAGTTCTGTCTCGGCAGAGATAATAATAAGTGTGATTGACCATTAACAAATTCAACAGATGAGGGCAAAGCGAGCAGGAGGACGTTGCTAAGGAACGAAATGACCAACTCACACTCACTGAGATGGTATGAAACATGACTACACGGTTCACGTAAACACACAGACGGCCTCCAGGGGCAGAGACACCGAAAGTTTTGGCTTAACGACAAATTATTTAAACAATTAAGTATGTTGTAGCAGTTTAGGATGAAAAGGATACGACAATTTTGATCTTTTCCAGTTATTGTTTATTCTGCATTTTTGACGAGTGGCCATTTTACTAGTGCGCTCCAACAGATCAATTGTGTGGTGAAACTTCAACGTCCGAAGTGAGAAAAAATTGTTAACCAAGAAATCCTCAATCTCAACGCCAAACATCATGAAAAGTGGAGAGCGAAACAATTCTTAAACAAGCTTCAAGGTTGCATAGATCCTAAAGAAGTCATGATAAATGACAATAATAAGCAAACTTGGGAGTTTGCTCAAAGTTTAGCCTCCCAAGGGAGAGCATCGATCTTCATTTTATGGAAAGTAAGCGAAAAGAGGGACGGCTTTATCCCTAGTTCTTAATGGTTCTCTTAGAATGCTGCTGTATCAGAGATTAACAGGCCACTTGATGTCTCTAATCTGAAACAAGTCATTTGGAGAAGAAATTCAAATCCCGCAATCATTCATATGGGGGTTATCGTCCGCTGAAACCCCGCTTCTCAAAAAGTCTATAATAATGTTTTGATATTTCTCTGCGCGTTCAGCAAACATTTTTTGCACCTGTTTTCATCATACCTGGCCATAATAATGACACAGACATCTCAAACGTTAGCTCTTCAAAAAATTGTTTCAAGTTTCTCTTTTGTCGTCAGTTAGAAGACTCAGTTATTGCAGTTATCTGTCGGCATTGATCAGCAATGGCAGATTCTACTGCCAAATTTTTTAAAACTTTGTTTATAATTCTATATAAAGACAAAATTTACTTGCACCTTGAACGCGCCTTATTCAGAAATGCGTTCTGTCAGGTACCATAGAGCAGTGGCCCGCTTAAATAATCTCC